ATGAAGCTTCCCTGTTTATAACCACATACATGCCTTCTTCCTGAACTACAAAATATTATAATATTGCATTCACTCAATTATGGAGGCATAGTTTTATGTGGTTCTTTAGCTGTTCTGTCCCAACCAATTCAGCATGGAGTTTACCTGCCAGACAAGCTGGTGGAAAGACTTCTGGACATTGGGATTATACTGTGCAAAGGTAGAGGGGCACAATCCAGCTGAATACCTTCTATAACTGCAAGTAGTTATACCTGGGACCAAGTTCGTGGAAACAGAACCATGTTAGACTCAAGGTTCCTGTTAGGATTTGTGCTTTACTATACCCCAGAATAGGGCCTGGGGTGTGAGTCAGCCACATAGGCTCATTATGAGTCAGGAGTATGATCCAATGTGGCTGTCTAAAGCTAATTCCATCAGAGGCTACTGTAACTATAATGTGTGTGTTGTGGGGAGGAGGATCGCACATACAAATTTCCTTTGCTATGTGAAGTTAAGACCTTTCCTGTAGTGTTGTGTCCAGTTCATTGTCCTGTGCTAGGAAAGGGACAGGGACAATATCCCATTGGAGAAGATGGCCAGCAGACTTGAAGTTAGAGTGCTTGCATCTATTGTCTTCAGGCCTCTGAGGGATCATCATAGAGCAGAGGGCAGAGCTGAATTCACAAAGAGCAGTTTCAGAGGGGCAGACTTGGGCTCAAGATGCCAAAAATCTTATGCTAATGAAAAATATTTGAAAATGGAACCAGCTAGCCTAGTCTGGGAGAGCAACTTGTTCCTAAATTAGTGAAGCAGTGGTCAAGGTCACTGTAATGAGGATTCTTGCATTGAAAAGGAGGTAACCAAGGCCCCTCCTGACTCAGAGGTTGCCTCTTAGTAACACAGCTCTGTTTTATGCCCAAGAATGTGTCACCTGCTCAGCTTGCTGCCCAAGGGCAGCCCTGGCTTCTCCTTGGCTGCCTTCCTTAGGACAGAGACTATTGGGGCCACTTGCTGCTCTTTAACTTACCAGTCAAGAGATACTGCTTCTGGCTGTTGGCTTCTAGTTTCACACCACAGAGGGAGGAATCAAAAGGTGTATAGATATACTGAATATCCTTGACTTTCTCAAACCCTTTAAACATCTGAAAAACAATTACAAAAAAGAAGTATTAGGTCAGTGAGTGAACTACATATTTTAACAGGGAAAATTCCTCAATCTAAAAAAAATTAAGCAAATTATCTAGTTCAGGATTTGATGCGCACAGATAGCCTAACTGGGTAATTTCTCTCTTTTAAAAACCTTGGTTTATTCCAGTGAGAGGGGAAGTACTTCCAGCAGCCCCATGCACAGGCAGCTATAGGACTGGAAGGACATTGAGGGTCTGTCCTGCATTATCATTCAGATTCTGTTCCCAAAATGTCATCCACTTCCATATTAGCCTCAACTCCCAAAATTACTGAGCCAGGTTGCCTGACCTATAAGCACCCCCTTCCCAAAACACAAACCCTAACCCTCCCAAAAGCCCAGAAGGTGAAAGCACTGTCCTGTCCCCATGTACCTTTATCTGTTTGATTTCATACCGGATCATTTTTTGAGTGTCAGCAGGATCTGCACTGGCAGGAATTACCTTCTCACTGGAGATCTTGGCCCGGATCACTGCACAGGAAGCAAAAGAGGGAACCTTCAGCAACCTGTGGGGGTAATTTGGGATCTGGATGACCTGGGGCCCCCAGATAATTTTATAGGAGGATACTGGATTATGAGGAGGAGGATATGAGAGAACAGGAACCTGGAAACTCCTGTGCAGTCAGACCTATTAGGTCCTACAGTCTCTACACTTTACTTGCTAAATTTGAGTCTAGCTCATAAACCAGGGACTAGGGGTGGACATCAGGATAGAGGATGGAGAAGGAGCCCATTGAGGGTAGGTCAGTGTGGTCATCTGTTGATGTAGCCCAAGACCTAAAACAGAGCCTGAACAGAATTTTGGTTTCTTGAGCCCAAATGCTTATTGAATTAATAAATGATCTGACCCTGCACAGAGGTAGTTCATCTATTGCCATTTGGTTATTAATAAAAAGCTGTTTATGAAGTTCTTCCTCTGTGCCTGGCCTAACACTAGGTATCAGGTCATAGATGTGATTAAGACAGGGTCCTCTATCTTGCAGAACTCTTGGTCTAGTGGAGAACACATTTGCAAACAACAGCACAGCATAGTAGGAGCACAAAAACGTTAAAAATACCATAGTAGCACCAAGGAGTCTGGAAGCCTTCAGAGAAAAGGAGATATCTGTGTTAGACTTTGAAGAATGAATAGTTTAAAGGATGGGGGAAAGGGCATTCCAGGCAGAGGAAAGGGTAAAATATGTGTATTGGTATGAGTATATGATGGCTCAGTTATATATAGGTTTGGTCACAGGGGAGTTTATAACGAAAGCCCAACCTCCTGGTGCTGGCTTCCCCCTCCCCCACCCAGTAGTTCAGAGTAATCACAGGATAGTTCCAGTGACTTGTTCAACGACAGTAGGCAGGGGTGAGGGGGCCGCTATGGAGGCCCCTTACACAGTCTTAATTTCCTGACAAGTCAGCCAAGCTCTGCCCTTGCAAGGTTGCTATGGTGCCGGCCTTGCCCTACCCATCAACCCCAACCGGAGGCAGCTGGTTTGGGATTTGAGCTCCTCCCATTCCCTCCAGACTACAGGTCTATGGCAATGCCCCTCACTAATCACACACAACCACCCCCAGCTGTGTACCTCCCTGGCTTCCGGACTCACCAAGCGCAGAGTGGCAGACATGCTGCTGGGGGTGCGAGGGGGCGCAGCTGCACGCCTCGACCAGCCCCGGCGGCCGCAGCAATGCCAGCAGCCGCAGCAACAGCAACCAGCTCGACGTGGTCTGGAGGCTCCGGGGCATGACACTGCAGAGCCCCAACTAAGTCTGTGGGGTCTGTCGGATCAAACAGACTCTCCAGGGCACTTCCAGAACGCCTCGCGCCCCTCGCCCCTCGCCCCTCGCCCTACGCTTTATGAGGTGGACCTAGGGCCAATCCCGCCCTTTGGGCTCCGCCCGCCTTTGGCTGCAAGCCACCTGCGGCTACAGGACCCAAGGCCCTCCCGACTGGCAGCCTCAATAAGATGAAGAGGGAAGCCAGGAGAAGCCCTTAGCTTCCATTTCCGTGCCTGAGCAATTAAGCCTCCCAGAAGTGGAGGGAAGGCACTGGGAGAGGGGATGGTGTCATGGCAAAAAGAAAGCGCAACAAAGACAAATGCAAGAGGCAGAAAGACCAAGGGACTGTGATTCAGGCAGAAAGAACAAGAGTGAGGAGAGGCACAAACAGAAAGAGTGAGACAGGCAGAGTCATCCAGAGGCAGGCAGAATTACAGCAGGCAAAAGAGACAGTGACAGAGAAGGACGAACCCCTTGCTGAGCTGCACACTGGGAATGAGACAAGCTACTCAGGGCTTCTTTCAGCTGCAGGAAGTGTTTTCAATGCCCTATTTAGGAGCTCCAAAGCAACAGTAAACAGTAATGGAACAAGACAGAGAAAGTTGGTGTGTGTGTGTGTGTGTGTGTGTGTGTGTGTGTGTGTGTGTGTGTCTTGGCTCTGTCGGCTGGGGGGTGGGGAGAGATGTCAGAGAAAGCAGCCAGTGCTTTAGAAACCCTTTCCTATACCCAGAGCTTCAGATTGCAGATGGCTGAGGAGAGTGCTTTTGGTGAGGGCTCAAAGCACAGAGTAGTATCTCATTACCTAATATAAATCTGAGACCTCAAGCTTCTTCAGATAGTAGCCTACTGATTCCTACCTCATGTTGCTACCCAATGAAGAGACTATGTCTTATACAAGATGGGGGCAAAGGTAGGCTTGGAGAATAGTTCTTTTAAGTTTTTATTATTCCTCTGTTAAAATACAACTACCTCAAAGTAGAATTTACATTCATAATAATATCTTTCAAATTACAAACATGTTGACTTTTCAAAATTAATTTCTTTATTGATTAAAGTATCACATATTTGTCCTCAAACCCCTATTCCAATCCCCCACTCCCCCTCTCAGGCCCCCACTCCCCCTATTATCCTTGACCACTGGTTAGGCTTATATGTGTGCACATAAATCCTTTGATTGATCTCTCCCTTTTATCCCCACCCTCCCTCCCTTTGAGGTCCAACAGTCTGACCCATGGCTCCTTATCTCTGGGTCTGTTCTTGTTCATCAGTCTATGCAACTCTCTTCCAAACCCCAAGCTGTCTGAACATACTAAGCTGTTTGTTGGTTGAGCTTGGGGTGTTGGTGAGCAATGAAGAGACTGTGAAAGGTGGAGAAAAGACAGGTTCAGTACAGGAAAGCTTGAGGGGAAGGAGGATACTAAGAGGGACATGACCAAAGGGACATTAAGATTCCAAAGATATATTCCTTTTGTAATTATGGTTTACTAAGGCATAATTTACATACAGTAAAATTCACCCTTTCAAAGGTGCATTCTTTTTCCACCTTAGCTGGTTTGGTTCAGTGGATAGAGCATCGTCCTGCAGACTGAAGGGTCATGGGTTCAATTCCAGTCAAGGGCACATGTTGTGGTTGCGGGCTCCATCTCCAGTAGGGGACTTGCAGGAAGCAGTTGATCAATGACTGCTTGTCATAATTGATGTTTTTGTCTCCCTCTCCCTTTCTCTCTGAAATCAATAAAAAATATATTTAAAAAAAAGATTCATTTTTTTTTTCAAATTCTCCAGTCCTGCCCTATGTTTGTTTAATGCAGAGAAGATTGAAGCAGTTAGTTTTAAATATGTGGAGTACCAAGTAGGAGAACAGGGTTCTTATAGATCTGCCATTAATATGCTATGACCTTAAGCAAGTCACTGTCACTCTATGGACCTCAGTTTTTGTATTTGTAAAGCACATAGGTTGGACTAGCTTTTTAAAGGGCCCTTCCAAGGGTGTTCCCCCCAAAAAATATTTGTAACATTCCACAGAAAAACAGGCACACTCTGACCAATTCATTCTTTTCTCTTCTGTTTTCAGCTGACATTGCCCACATTCCCTGTGGTGGTGAAGATTGGCCATGCTCACTCGGGCATGGGAAAGGTAAGGCTGGAGCCTGCTGTGCTTTGGAATTGAGGCCAAGAGGGGTACTTTTCAGAGAGTCTGGTTATGGACGATTATCCCTCTGTTATTGATTAATTCTTCCATGATTTGAGTGTTAACCCAAACACTCAAGCTATGAGTGTTAACCCAAACAGGTCTTTTCAATAAGCCAAGTGTAGGCCACCTGCTTGGTCTGTTGGGCCTTTTGCAATAAGTATAGCTCCTGAGTCTAGGAAGGGAAGCTGGAGAGAAGGACTCTCCTAAGATGTGGCATTCAGGCTTGCTACTGGAATGGAAACATCTTGATGGGTTTGGAGGCCCCGGATTCTTGTGACTCTCGTGTGTATATGTGTATGTCTCCTTTTTCCCCTCTCTGCCTTGCTCCAAAATTAGGTCAAAGTGGAAAACCACTACGACTTCCAGGACATTGCTAGCGTGGTAGCCCTCACCCAGACCTACGCCACAGCAGAGCCTTTCATTGATGCCAAGTATGACATCCGGGTCCAGAAGATAGGCAACAATTACAAGGCTTACATGTGAGTGGGGTGGGTTTCCAGCAGATACTCTTTGCTTTCTCCTCAACTCAGAGGAGAATTCGAGCCTCTACTTAGCAGCCAGTATTCAGTTAAATTTCCTCTGGCCCAGAAGGCAGAGAACAGAGAGAGGGTGCCATTAAGTGAGGAGTCTTAGCCTGGGTTCCTTTCAAGTCAGGGAGGAGTGGGGGGTCCATGAATTAAGATGAGAAATAACATTAATATTTATTTTTATTAGCCTTTAAATAAAATTTAGCATTCTCCCTAGTTATGAACAAAGACAACAGGCTATAGTAGCAGCAGTAGCATGAGTGACTTTGTCACTACAGATAATCACATAGATTCTTGTATTTTTATACAGTTGTGACAGATATCTCTAAATACAATTACTATTATCACTACTAAAGAATCATGGCAGTTATTAGACCTGCCACTACAGTTACCCCTGTAAATATATTTGTTATTTATTAAAAAACATTTTGACTAATCACAGATTTATTTGTTTAATATTTTGGTAACTATTATGATAATTACTTTAAATAATTGCATTCCTTTGTTATCCTGTATACTTCATTTTATACATTTACACATCTTATATTTTATAATTGAAAGGAATTCACATGCTTCACCAGGCTTCCAGAGCACAGAAAAAGTTAAAGAAACTCCTGATGTAAATATATAGCCTATAAAACACTATAGAGCATTAAAAGCCTAGTTGTTATGAGAAAAGATGACTTTTCTACATTTGCCAAATGGAAAGTTAAAGATTTCCACTATTAGAATTTAGAAAAAGAAAAGATTTCAAGTCTACCAGATCTTCCATAATATACTTATACATAAGAATGCAAATGTATTATAATTCCAGTTTTGGCAATCTTAATCTTCCATTTTTAGAAAAAAAAATTTAGATAGTTTTTTGGGTTTTTACAAAAACAGAACATTATATTATATGAATTTGATCTTTGCTACTTATGACTTCAGCAGATTTCAGGGTTGAGTAGCTTCCCTTTCCTTTATCATTTCTATTTCCCTTCCTCCATTCCCTATTTAGTTTTTCTACTTCCCACCCCTTGAATTAGTAAGGAGCCCTTTCCCTATAACTTCCTTCTCATAGCTATAGTTTAGCCCCTTTCACATGTGTGATTTGAATCACTCTCCTCTGATCTCTCTAGCAGAAATGTTAGAATCATCTCTGCAGGACCACTGCCTTATGCAACAATAGGTGCATAGTGGGCACCCAATAAGTATTCAGGGAACAACTCAGAAAGAATTGAGACATCAATTTTTTTCCTTTATTGACTGGACTCCTACTTTTAAAAAAGTTTATAATTTTTACTTGTAGTCTTTCTTCTTCAGAAAGGAAGTTAGGGTTGCTTGAAAATTATGCACAATGTAAGAAGGGATAATTTAAAAGACCATTGTAAAAAATACTATGTAAAGCAGAAAAATAATATATTCAGCCACTAAGGAAGCAGATTTCCTATCCTTTAATGTTAAAATCTAAATAAAATTTTTTTTGGCAATGAAGCAAGAGTGTCTTTATCCTTAAAAAGGAGACACACCACATTTTTAAGGGTTAAGGTTTCCAAAAGCAATTTAAATGAAGCATAAGAGAATCTCAACTATTGATAAAGGGTGGACAACCAGAACAGCTTTAGAAATTATTTACTCCTTTTTTTATTTGCAAGGGACAGACAGTTATTTGGCTCTTCTTCCCAAAACTTTGGCTATCCCTTTGCTCTCAGAAGAAGGAATTGGCTTGGCAATAGCCGAGATAAAGTTTGAAATTCTTTCCTTCTCCCTCAGTTCTCACCCTAAAGATCCAGGGGCAGACATATTTGGTGTAAAGAAGGTGCTATTCCTGCCCCACTCTCACTAGGCAATAATTTGGGTCCTTCTGTGGAGTTCAGATGTACAGCAAGTCTCAGTGCCCCCTTTGTCCCCACATTTCCCAGGTATCCTGTATGGATCTGTGCCATGCATGCTGTTATTAGAGAAAGGTGTGAAGTGTAAGAGACATTATTATTGCTTATTCAAAGTTTCTAACAACCCTCTATGTACTATGGCCCTGTTCTAGGGACATGGATACTCTCTGCCTCTGCCCTTGAGGAACCAGCCTTGTCACAGGGACACACTTGTAAAATACCAGTGTTAGGAAGACAATGTTATTTTCATTTGATTTGTCTTTGTATTGCTACTCAGATTTTTCAAACCACTCCACTGTGAGTTGCTTGTTTTGTTGTTGTGGTTTTTTTTTTTATTTTTAATTTTTATTTCTGAGCATGGTAGTGGGGTGTAGAGGTAAATGTAGCACAATGGGGGAATAAAAAGTCCTGGATTTTTATCTTATATCTACGTTGACTAGACATACAATCTTGGACAAGTCATCCAACCTCTGAGTCTTAATCTCTTTGTAAAGTGGAAGCAAGAATCCCAGCCTATTCACAACAGGGGGCTTGCAATGAGGTTCTGGTGAGGGGCTTGGGAAGGAAGAATCTTGGAAAGCAATCAGTACTGGGAGAGTGAGAAGTTGTTATTACCATGTCACTCAATTCACTGCATCTCAGGGCTCTGAAAAACCAGCTGTACTAGGTTTCTAAGTATTTGAAATCAGATATCTAGGGAAGATACTCCTGAGTGGAGACTGGCACATCCAATCTCCATCCAGTAGTGAGTGATAAGGACAGCATAAGAAGGCCTCTATCAGTGATGTGAGAAAGACTTTTCTGTCCCTTAGGCGATCCCCATCCTCTTTTCTTGTATCTGAGTAAACATTAATAACTAAAAAAATACATATTTTTGGTATGTTACAGTTTATTTAAAATTATAACCCAACTTTATGTTTACACATGGATAAGAGAGGCTCAGTCCGGTGAAATGATTCACCCAAGGTCACCCAGCCAGTCAAGAGCAAATCCAAAACCAGAAACCAGATTATTTGCCTCATATTTAGTCCAAGACTAGTTGACGCTAACACATGCTTATAGATGGAGGGTGCAGAGGGCATAGCAGAGAACAGGTCTATTTGATGATGAAACAACTTAAGCCTGAAAAGGTTGACTGACTTATCCAGAGTCATATTGCTAATATTGCAGGCTCTCAAAAACCAATTGTTGAATGAATGAATAAATGGGCTAGTACAGAAGCCACTGGGAGATAGTCACAGAACTCTGAGGAGGTTTCAGAATCAGTAAAATTCAGTTTGTATATACTTTCTCTGTGGATCCCTGAAACTATGAATAGTATCAACCTCTATATATACTGTCTTTTCTTATACCTATATAACTATGTTAACATTTAATTTATAAATTAGGCACAGTAAAAGATTAACAATAACTATAATAAAATAGAACAATTATAATAATATTCTATTTTATTATAAAAATTATGTGATTATGGTATCTCTCTTTTAAAATATCTTATTGTACTGTACTCATCTTTCTTGTGATGGTGTGAGATGATAAAATGCCTATGTGATAAGATAAAGTGAGGTGAATGAGACATTATTAAGTAAATAAGGGTTCCTTGAACAAAAGCACTGTAATACCACTACAGCTGATCTGATAACCAACGTGGCTACTAAGTGACTAATGGGTAGGGAGAACATGCAGCTTGGATACTTGGATAAAGGGATGATTTACAACCTGAGTGAGACAGAGCGATAGGGTTTATCATGCTGCTCAGATCAGTGTGCAATTTAAAGCTTATGAACTGTTTATTTCTGGAATTTTTCATTCAATATTTTCAGACTTTGGTTGACCACAGATAACTAAAACCATGGAAAATTAAACAGTGAATCAAGGGGGACTACAGTATGAAGTCGGCCCAGATATTGGATAGGCTGCTGGGTATGCAGGACAATATATACCCTTAAGTAGCTTACAGACAGAAAACTTAGATCAAATAACTAAGGTTAAAAATAGATATAGGATTGAAAGTGAGGTATAGGCAGGGTCCTATAGGGGCTCTTAAGAGAGCAAGCACTCATCTGTCTGAAAGATCAGGAAGGCTCCATGGAGCCAGAGCAGTGAACTGGACTCTTACAGAGAGGAGGAGAGCATTGCAGGTGGAGGTTTGGCAGAGGCAGCCAGACTCTAGGCTTAGCAATAAGCCCCTGGACTGTTTGTGGTAGAAGCAGATGAGGAAAGCAGTGGTGAGCTAAAAATCTGGAAAGTTTTATGCCCTTCTCTTACTGCCTGTCCTATCTGGTGGGACCTTGTTGTAGGAGGACATCGATCTCAGGAAACTGGAAGACGAACACTGGCTCTGCAATGCTGGAACAGATCGCCATGTCAGACAGGTGAGTTTAAAGAGGAGTCCAGTCCCTAGCCCAGCAAGAGGGGGCCTTCTTTAGATGAAGAGGTATAAAAATTGGTCCTTGTCCGAAGGGCACCTCTAATCAGACAGGGTAGATAGAATACAAAGGCCCAAACAGCCAGTTAGCAAGATCAGGAAGGAGTAGGTTATGTGCTAAATTATGGAGATAAAGATTGGACATACCACAGAAGCTCCAAGAAAGGAATAGTTACTATGGGCTGGAATAGCCAAGGAAAGGCCACCTAGAGTTGATGAGACCTGCTCTGAGCCTGAAAAGACAGGAATCTGGAGAGCAAAGCTGGAGGGCACTGAAGATAAAGCCCTGTGCTTAATGGGAGCGGAGGGAGAGAGTTTTTGGAGGGAGGGAGGGCTGGAGAGGGGTGATGATCAAGGCTGAAGCAGTAATGAGAGTGTGACCAGAAAGCAGGCTGGATGTGAGCTAATGACCCAGCCTCAGGATACCTTCCCATCTCCTCCAGGTACAAGCTGTGGGTAGATACCTGCTCTGAGATGTTTGGTGGCCTGGACATCTGTGCTGTCAAAGCTGTGCATGGCAAAGATGGGAGAGACTACATTTTTGAGGTAAGTTTGACTTAAGGAGTACCTTAGTAAGAGATAATCCCCAAGGTTGGAAGCCAAGCTAGTGGTTTGATGACTATGTGGATGGCCTGGACTACTTTTAGGTTAGACTCTCCAGGGCCGTGGGAAGGTTCCCACATGACACAACCAGTGGATTTGCATAACAACACACTTTCACCAGTGGGAAATTATTGCTTTCAACCAGCTTGGCTGACCCACACAATGAATAAGAGATACCAAATGTGGGTTCCTGGGCTCCTAGCCAAGTATCATTCCTCTGGGAAAAATATAGTGTTTTTTATCATTCTTGGTCTCAGAAAGAATCATTCAATCTAATCTATTCACTTTGCAGGTGAGAAAAACTGAGGTCTCATATTATGAACTTGTTGCTACTTCAAAACTGTAATTTTGCTACTGTTAATGAATTATAATGTAAATATCTGTGTTTTCTGATGGTCTTAGGCCACCTTGCTAGCATTTCTCAACCTGGGGGTCGTGACCCACAGGTTGAGAACCACTGCTATAGAGCCTAAGGCTCTTCCTAGAGTGGGAAAACATTGATCTGGACCTTGAATATAAGAAGAATCATGATTGGAGCAAAAGGGAAGTCATCCCAGATCATGGGCAAAGGCAGGAATCTAGTCATTTAATGGTCAGAGTACCTGTGGAGATACAGTTTGTGTGGGTGAAAAGTCAGAGATGAAAACTGCCTGCTTTTAACTGGAGCATTAAGGGAATGGTCTTCAGTTGTTCCTGGTCCCCTCAAATGCAAACTTTTGAGCCCTTAGTTTATACTCTGTTTGGCTCTCTACCTCTCTCCACTCACTATCTTCAGTAACCAACTTTTCAGTCTCATTGAGCACTGGCCTGGGTGAAGGTTGGCGGATGCCCATGGCAGAGGTTTGAAGGAAGATGGGACTAAGGTCCTCTTTCTGCAAAGGAACATGCTTTCAGCTGAAGAGAACAACACCAGCTTCATTCCCAACCTATTTCTATTGGCTTAAGTCCTACTTATTCTGAAATACTGTACCAGGCCTTTAATGTCTCCAGACCCTTTTCTAACCTGAGCCATGTCTTCTACCAGGTCATGGACTGCAGTATGCCGCTAATTGGGGAACACCAGGTGGAGGACAAACAACTCATCACCGAACTAGTCATCAGCAAGATGAACCAGCTGCTGTCTAGGACCCCTGTCCTGTCTCCTCAGAGACCCTTAACCACCCAGCAGCCACAGGTAAGCATCTGGGAAAAGACACAGGAGAGCCTAGAACCATACCCAAGTCCACTGCTCTAGACTATGGAGGCTCTAGGATGAAACAGATAGATACCTACAGGCCTGAATAAGATATATGGAATCTTCTCACCCTTCCTTTCTTTCTCCTCTGTAGGTCTAGTGGGAAGTATACATTGAAGTTGTTGTGGAACTTCAGGCTCTATGGTTCTAGAAGGGCAAAGACCCCCTGGGCCCAAGGATCTTTAGTCCCATCTAGGACATGCCTCACTTTTCAAAGATATCCCCAAACTCTTCTCTCCATTGAACTTTTGTATAGCAAAGTGGTAAGAACTCTTAATCCTAGTCTAGCTCTTCCCTAGCTATGTGACATTGAGGGGAAGTTATTATCCTTTTTAGGGTTCAAGTTTTATCACTTGTAAATAAAAATATCTCAGAAATTTTTCTTTCAAATTTTATTTCAAACAGGGAAGTAGAACATAGTAGTGACTTAGAGTGTAGACTTTGAATCAAGAACTACCCAACTTTGTATCCTGGACCCTCCATTTATTAGGTTTGTGACCTTGGACATTTTTATCTCTTGCTCAGTAAAGTTCTGAACAATAGCACCTATCTCTAAAGTTGTTATGAGAATCAAATGAAGTAGAACACTTAAATGTGTCAGAGTACATCAAAGCACTCAGTAAAGGTCACCTTTTATTACCTGAGTTTAGCCTGTCCTTGCCACTGAATTATGAAGTGACCTTGGATAGATTTCTTCCTATTTCTATGCCTTAGCATCTTTGCCTGTAAAATGAGGGTTGAACAAAAACATTACCATGATCTCTTCTAGCAATAAAATTTATTGTTTTCATATAATTATTATATATGAAAATTATATGATTTCATATAGATTATATGAAAATAATCTCTAAAGCATAAATGTTCAGTAATAAAGAGAAAATTCATAAAAAATTGTTTCCACCTCATATAAGGCATTAGCTCTTTTTTGGTATAAGCCCCCTTACTCTATAAATATTAATATTGCAGCTTAAATATTTTAAGGAGTAATCCATCAGTCAAGGCAGAAAACCTAGTAAGGAATGAGCTTCCCTAAATATAGGGGCTACTGCAAACATCCCTTGTAGAAAAGCCAGTCTGGCTCAAGGATAAGCTTTCCTCTGCTCAGCCTCACATTTTTTTTTTTAAATCAATCTTTATTGTTCATATTATTACAAAGGTTCCTCATTTCTTCCCTCCTCCACCAGGTTCCCACCCCACCTTCCGTCCCCTCCCCATCCCCCATTGTCCTCATCCATAGGTGCAGTTTATGTTCAGTCTCTTCTTCCCTCCCTTTCCCCGATAGTAAATCCCTTTTCAGATAGTAAATCAGTTACTTAGCATTTTCTCATATCAATAATACCTCCACATGCCCAATGATACACTTCACACAAAAGACATTTCCCAATAGGTCAACTAGCCTCATCCAGGCCCCACCCAAGGCACTCACAGATCAACACCCCAGCCCTCTACTAACTCAACACATCCAGATCTAAGCCTTCATCACTTGATTCAGCAGACCCTCAAGTTCCCGCGAAAGTTTCTAGCCATGTCTGAGAGGCAGCCGTGGGGCAGGGGCAGGCGAGGAGCGAGCTGTTCCGGGCCTGGCTGCTCAGGGCCTGGCCTCTGTTGCTCTGGTTCGTTCCACAACCAGCTGCTCCGGGTCTGGTCACTGCCGCTCCTGACCTAGTTGCTCTGGACTTGGCTGCTGCTGCTCCGGGCCTGGCCGCTTCCAGCCTGGCAGCCACTGCTCCGGGCCTGGCCGCACCCGACCCGGCTGCTCCGGGCCTGGCTGCTCCCAGCCTGGCAGCCGCTGCTCCGGGCCTGGCCGCACCAGCCCTGGCTGCTCCGGGCCTGGCCGCTCCCAGCCTGGCAGCCGCTGCTCCGGGCCTGGCCGCACCAGCCCCGGCTGCTCCCCCGGGCCTGGCCGCTCCCAGCCTGGTAGCTGCTGCTCCGGGCCTGCCCGCACCAGCCCCGGCTGCTCCCCCGGGCCTGGCCGCTCCCAGCCTGGCAGCCGCTGCTCCGGGCCTGGCCGCACCCGACCCGTCAGCCTCACATTTGAAGTGACAACAGAATATTGTGGAAAGCATACCATGCTGTGACTTAGGACACTCAGGGGCTAGTCTCACTCTGTTGTATCATTTTGTGACCTTGGGTAAGTCACTTCCCATCTCTTGACCTTTCTTTTCTTGCCTGTAGAATGGAGCTGAATTACATGATCTCTAGATCCCTTTGAATTCTAAGATCACATGAAACATGGAGTCGCCCTAACTGCAAAGTCTGGATGCATAGTCCTCCACAAGACTACCTTCACTCCTGACACCATCAAAAAGTTCAGAGATTTCCCAAAACCACCCTCAAATTTCACAATTCTTTGGAAGGATTCACAGAAATTATTGAAAGCTATTATATTCACAGGTGTGTTACAGGAAAAAGGATACAAGTAAAAAATAAGCCAAAGGAAGATGCATAGGATACAGTCTGGGAGAGTTCTAAACACAAAACTTCAATTGTCTTCAGGATGCCTTAGCCTTCTGACTTCCATATGTGACAGTAACACAGGACAGATTCCCAATCAGGGAAGCTCACCTGAGCTTTGGTGTTCAGCATTTTTTTGGGTCTCATTTCATGGACATTGATTGATTAATCACCTGGTAGAACTCACCCTCCAGTTCCCCTCTTCCTAGAGGTCAGGTTAATACCATGTGGTCCAACGAGCCCACCATGAGTGACCTCAGTATCATACACTATAAGGTATGGTCTCAGGGGGCCCCCCACCATGAATAACAAAGATACTCCTATTACTCAGGAAATTCTAAGAGTTTATAAGTTTCTTCTCAAGAATGGGGGACAAAGGCCAAATAAGGACAAAGTCTTTATTGTATACATAATTAAATTTAATTAAATTAGCAAATAAATTCTCAAATGCTTCCAGCCCTTTGTGAGCTAAGGCCATGCCTCATTCATCTGTGCTATAATATCACTGACATGCACAGGACTAGTCCAAAGTTTATACTTAAATTAGTTAATAGAGTTAGGGCTATAGTGATGAATGAGATACAGTTTGTGTCCAAGTGTTATTTATAGCCTACATTGAAATCATGACTAAATTTACAGAGGTCATCATCATTTGTTGGATAGTGTCTTATATTCTCTATTAGCTTCCTTCTGAATCTTTTGCCTTCACCAGGCAACACAAAAGACAGAAGACAATCAACAGTATGCCATACTTGTCAAAAGCTGAAACTTGGGCTTGAAGTCATGACTGAACTGGTCATATTTCTACCTCTCATTTCTCCCTGATAATAGCACCTCTCCACTGGTCATATTTTAGTCACCATGGCTTCAGTTCCATGAGACTGTCAGACCAGATTGGCTTTATATTCCCACTGTCATATCTATCAACTTACCTGAACCTTTACCCATATGAATCTGCTTCTAAGGCCCACTCTCTATTGGTGATCTGGATCCCACTTTTTTGCTTTCAAGTATTCCTTCTCTTCTCCATCTTCAATTTCTCCTTTTTCAGAAGATTATTATTTCAATACACAAATATCTCCCACTTAAAAAAAAGAAAAAACAAAGACTTTCCTCAACTGCTGTTCTCTTCCAGCTACTGTCCCATTTTTCTGTTCCTCTTCACAATAAATCTTGAGTTGTCTTAGTTACCACCTTCCCTTTATCATATCAGATTTTCTTTTCAACCCATTCCTATCAGTATTCCACTTCTACTATCCCACTGAAATTACTCTTGTTAAAGTTACCTGCTTCCTCCCACCTTCCCTTCTTCCCTCCCTCCTCCCTTCCTTCAATCCTCTTTCCCTCCCTCCTTTCCTTCATTCTTTTTTCTCTCTCTATGCTGACCTGTAGCTCCTGAGTTTTTTTATTTCTTTGATTCTAGAAGAGTATCTAAAGGAGGCTGGAGCGATTGGGGTGGGGGAGATGAGTAGAGGGCACACTTGCCTTATTGTCAGCCAGCCCCATAGCCTAGAATGGGTAAATCATAGAAAACAAAGTTATAAAAGTGGGCCCAGGCCAGCTCCTGTAACCAGTTTAAAGGAATAGGAGCAGGAGTATGAGAGGCACTGGCTGTGTCTCTGAAAGCAGGGAGGTGAGTGGCAAAGCTGGTGACAACTTAGCCTCAGCCTGGCTTGACTGCCTGCTCTGGGGCTGCCTATTGACATTAGTGTTTTAGAGAGACAGTTCTCAAGGTGGCAGTGACACCTGGTGGCCAGTGAGGGCCAAAGCCTCTGTGTCTGTATGCCCTGCTCTCCCATCTACCCTCATATTCACTACCCCATGGGGCCTATCATCTGGGATCTGAGCTTAGCCTTACATCCTGAGGCCTTGGAGAGGCGTGGGCTGCTTCTGAGACTGGAATCAGAGAAAGGACATCAAGTAGAGAGTTCAGAGCTTTTAGATCATGCCAATAGAAGTGGCATCCTAGTGCTCTCCTTTATGTAGCTAATCTTTTTTCAATTCCACTGCTCCCACTCCTTTTTTAAAAAATTTTTCTGTAAAATATTCTAAGGCCAAACGGCTGAATAGCTAATGCAGGGAATTTATATACCAATGGGCTTTCTATTTGGCTTTGGATTAGACCTATGAGTAGTGATTCTAAAACTCAGTCTTTGGAAGCATTAATACATGTATGGTGTCTGGGAGGAAGACAAACCTCTTTCCTGACCCTGAATTGATAATGCCACACTTGAAATGTTTTTTTCCAGTCTGAAGGTCATAGTATACCAAGGATAAACTCTTAACTCTAACTGGGTCATTTTCTAAAGGAAAGAAAACCAGGAGGTTGAAGCATTTGGCAAATGTATTTTCTAAGAGTTAAAGATGCTGCAGTTGAATAGTAATTGTCTCAAGGAGCCCATGATTTAATATTTTTTGCTTTCTGATAACTGTCATGATATAGACCTGGTGCCAAAAAGGCAAACATACCCACTGAAAGATAGGGG